TAATTTAAAAATTATAACATGAAAACTATAACAAGCACAAAATGGTTACAAGGTTGGTCCCAGGGACTGAGCCCGTGCTGAAAGAATTAAGTGGGTAATGTTTGAGATATTATCCACCTGTTAGTGGGTATCTTTCCATCTTAGTTATAGTGATTCTCTTTCTGTTGAAGTTATCTATTTGAATTGATGTGAAATGCGACTTTTCATTCACATAACTTACCTAATAGTTTGCCTTTGTGTAGTATGTCTTAAAGTAAATTGTTTCCAAAGAAAAGTTCAGTGTGTTGAAAAACACTTTCTTTAGCCTGAACAGAAATCTGCACTTTACTATTGCCACAAAACTTAAATGTAGTTCTCTTTCTACTTCTGAAAGTCCAGCCATCATCAAAAGTTTTAGCCTCAATATCAGAAACAGTTTCTGCACTTAATCTCCAAATCGCTTTCTGAGTAAATATGAAGAATTCAAAGCCCCATTTTCACTAATTTCATCAAATGAATTTTTTTTAAATGTCTCTAATGTATTTTCATTCATGCTTTGACCCGGCATGGCCAGGTGGTTAGGGGCGCTTAACTCGCAATCTGTGGGTCGAGGGTTCGATTCCCCATCCCTCCAAACATGCTCGCCCTTTCAGCCGTTGGAGCATTATAATGTGACCATCAATCCCACTATTTGTTGGTAAAAGAGTAGCCCAGTGGGTGGTGATTACTAGCTGCCTTTCCTCAAGTCTTACACTGCTAAATTAGGGATGGCTAGCGCAGATAGCCCTAGTGTAGCTTTGCGCGAAATTCATAAAACAAACAAACATACATGCTTTGCACATGTCTGTGTTTCAAAATTGGCCATGTTTGCTGACACTCGTCAAAGGATTTATGAGCTCAAGATGTATTTCAAAACAAAAGTTGTGTGCCATCTCTGAGTGAACAAGAGAAGTAAGAGTAGAAGCAGGTTGACATTTATAAAGAACATAAACATGGAGTTGGAGCTAAAAAAAATTGTTTGATATATATATATATATATATATATGTTTGTGTATGTCCTGTCCAATTAAAGGTTTTCTGATCATTTACTGATTGCAAAGTTTGTAGCACCAAATCAGTAATTTGTGGAATGGGTCCCCAGTAGTGGAGATTTGCAACTCAATTCACATGACTGGTCATCTGATACTTGTTTTGCATAAAAATTAACTCAGGGATACCATTATTGCCATTTATTAATAATAGTTGTCCTTTGTCACATTTAATTAATAGAAAACTCTGATTATCCCTTAATTATATTGAACAATGTGGTTTAAGTCACTGGTGAAATTAAATACTTTGTGGTTATTTATTTCTCTTTCCCCAATATGGACTGTCTGGAAGGTGTGAAATCCTATACTTTTGATTTAAAAGAATAAAAAATAGGAAACTTGTTTTTCATAAAAATGTGCTCTTCTGTAATGTACAATTTTATTTTAGACTTTAGTGCAATAGGATAGAAACATGGGCAACTTTTTTACTTAGTTTTAAAGATTTTTTAGATGAACTTAAACTAATGGAAATACAATTAGAGATATAATATGTTCAAGTACTCAGAATTCAAGTATTCCCTTCTCTGAAATTCTTATAAAATGTATTTTACTTTATTCTAAACAACTTGTGTAAGTATAATTTTTTGTATCAAAGTGCTTATTTTACTTGTATGTTGCCCTCTTTTCCCCATCAATACATCTTTTAAGTATAATGAGGTTTTGTGGGTGACATTCAAAAATGTTCCATAACAGTTCAACTGGATTCGTGTTGAAACTGTAAGCTGGTCCAGACATTTTGAGCAGTACTTCTCTTAAACCACTGTGTTCGTGAAACTGAGATGTACACTTTGTAGGTTTATGGCATGTCTGCAACATTCAGCATCATGGCATTCTTGTGCACATATAGTGGATGTATTGACTTTTAGTCTATTTCTAAATGTGCTTTTTTGTTTCACAAAATGTTTTAATGTTTGCACGTACTGTAGAAGACCTTTTTATTGCAGTTGTTCTTTAGTTATGATTATGGGGCTTATCTAAGACAATTTATAAATAAATAATGGAAGATACTTGCATTTGGTGTTCTTGAGTTTGCTAACCTAATTTTGGGACAGTGTCAAACTGTTATTCTTGGGTTTTGTGTGTATGTAATCACAAAAAATTTCTGTATTTAATGTAATGAGGTTTCAAACATTTTAAGTTTCCCACCACTGTCTACAAACTACACTACAGTCTGCTTAATGTGTTTTTAAAAATACTGCTTCTATATCTCACACAATATATTAACATCCACTCACCCTCTTGCTTGCATTGTCTAATTTGTGATGAGACATTATAGGAAATGACCAAACCCTCCTCAACATTTGAGACACAATTACTTTTGTATATTAGAAAGAAGTGGAAACTGGAAGATTTTGACATTGGAAGACCTCTTGGTCGAGGGAAATTTGGCAATGTTTACCTAGCAAGAGAGAAATCTAGTAAATTTATTGTAGCTTTAAAGGTGAGTAAAATGTTTCTCGCTATGTGTGGTATGTACTTGTTATAGTTTTATGTTTCTCGCTATATCTAGTTTACATTTATTACAGTTTTTATTTAATAATAAAGATAAAGAAATGTTTAGTAACAATCCTGTAGATAAAAAAAAGTAAACCCGTATGATTATTTACTAAGACCTACTTTACTTAACGATCTATTGTGTGTAAACCCTCAAAAGATATAGGTCATGTATGTGCTACTATTTTGTGTCCTTAGGACTAAATCAGGTGATAATTGAGTTTTGTTTTAAAGTTAAGAGAAAAATGTGCTTGAAAGCAATTTGTGAAATGTGACTACTATATCACTTTGCAGGAGTAATACTGAAAAAAAAATCCTTAACAAATTGGTATAACTGTATGAAAAATTCAAAAGAATTTTATTTAACTAGATGTAAGTTAAGAAAATTTACATATAAGCTGATACTTATTATGGATCAGAATTATTTTAATAAACCATTATGGAGTTTTAAGAATGTAGGTTAGTAAAAAAGCTTAAGATTTTTTATATTTCCAAAATTAGCAAAAATTTACATTTTTATAATTTTTCACCTATACATAAATCATGGAAAATGTATTGTAAATTTATTTATTCTAAGAGACTTAAGATTCAGAAAATTCTGCAATTATCCATTTATCTGACAAAGTATTTTAGTAAATAATTGTAAAACATTACATGAGTAAGTCTTCAGGTTTAATATTTTTTTTTAGGTTTTGTTTAAATCTCAGCTGGAAAATTATGGTGTTGAACATCAATTACGGAGGGAAGTTGAAATTCAAGCACACTTAAGGTAAATATTATAATTACTGCATGCTGTTGATCCCAGCTATGAACAGAACATTATACCTTAAATAGTATGCGTTAGTTCAGTGATTTATGTTACTAACATGTCTAATCTTGTTTTCTTTCAAAGCAAAAACCAAAGTCCATTTTGTATTCAATAGACATCATAACAGACATAAAAAATGTTCTATGTTTAGCCAAGCTTTAGCTGTGTTATATTTTATTTCAAAAGTGAATTGTGTCAATAAAGTGTGTGTGTAATAGAATCTTGAAGTATTGTGTGAGAAGGGAGGGAACAAGTTAATACATCTTTAAAAAAACAATACTCAGCAAACACCTATCATAGTCTTATTTGGTGATGGTAATTTCTTGCATCATAAAAGTGCAGGTAGGTTGATTTTGAGGTTTTAAGAAATTACTGTTGTTTAATTAATTGTAACATATTTTCAGAAGAACACTAGTCACACTAAATCCTGATAGATCTATATAAAACCTTGTTTAACCTCAGGATATGTAGAAATTAAACATTGTTAATTAATTCACCAAGAAATGGTGAAAAGCCAGTTTTATTGGCCTTTAGTGGGTGGTGATGTCTGATCAGTATACTTTAGAGGCTTTACAGTGTGGAGTGTTTCCCACCTCCTAAATAAGATGTTCCTCTTTTCTTCACAAGAAGGCTAGTTTCATCTTTATTTTCTGTATGTGAATGTGCCATCACTTTTACTCAAGAGGCAGTTGTGGAAGTGGTCAATCCCAATCTAGAGTTTTGTGTACCTATGGTTTCTAAGCATACAGAGAATTGGTGACAAGTTCTAGATCTTTCTCTTTGAAATTGTATTTTAACCTTTCCATTCATTGAAATGGAGAATTTTCATTAGTTGCACCTATCTTCAGTAGACTTTGGAGATGATGAATCTTAATATTGCAGACATTTTCCCATTTACCACTTTCTTGATATTGTCTTAGACTTAAGTTGTTCCTTTTAAAAAACAAATACACAATCTCCAGCAGAGCTAGGAAATCATACTATGTAGATTTCTTCAACATAATATGGACCCTGTAGTCCTGGCATATTTGGCCAACTGATTATCACTTGTATTGACAAAATAGGCATGACATGTTTTCAGATTCTGTGCATATACACTAAGAATCTATTCTTTTGGACAATCTCACAATCTGTCACTTTGTAAAAAACATACATGAAATGTTCTCTGTGTTAAAAAATTCCCTTTCTTTAATTTCAAGTTTTAGGACCTCTTACTGGAGCCTTCATTGAGCAAGAAAGTCAAAATCTTACATAGGGAAGAAAAAGTATCTGAAAATGGAGAATAGTCTTTGTATATTTTCTAGATATTAATTCTTACTTATATATATATATATAACTAGCATATAACCCATGAAAATTTACAGGGCAAGTACTCCTCCCCCTCCATAGTATACCTTAACCTCACATTTCGTAGCTAATAAATAGAATTTGTGAAATCAAGCTTGACTAACAATAAGGCAGAAAAGTGAAGTCAAGGCAGTCAAACGTCATTAAATTCCTTTGTGAGCCAAGCAAAATTAAGATCATTCATGAAATGAAATTGTGGCATATTCATAGAATAATTAATAAGTTACTTTTGACACTAAAACATCAATATATTTAAGAAACTTGTATTTTATACACATGAAAAATGGTATAAGTGGTAAACCTGTTATCTATTTTACTGAGTGGATTTATCGTGTGTGTATTCTGTTTTAGGCACCCCAACATCCTCAGGCTTTATGGTTATTTCTATGATGACACTAGGGTCTATCTTATCCTAGAGTTTGCTCCAAGAGGAGAATTATACAAGGAGTTAAAGAAGGAGGGAAAGTTTGATGAAAGGCGAGCCGCAGTAGTAAGTATGGCTGTTAGTACTCCAGCTATTGTGGAACATTTTATATAATTACAAATAAATGCTATAAATTAGAGAACAAGGCGTTATCTACTTGGAACGTTGTCTTCACATACTTTGTTAGTGGTAATTTAGTGCTAAATTTCATGCTGATTTTGGTCAGTTTATCAGCATAACTTCATTATTAAAGTCAATATCAGCATGAAATGTAGCACAATTGTTGACATTACATTCTTCCATAGGTTGAAGTTTTAAAAAATTCAAAAACCTTTAACAATTATCTTATGAGTCTGATTACCACTAATGAAGATATTAATTAAAATTAATTGTCCATAGCTCATTAACATTGCAGAAAATTTTCAAACTTTTTAATTCAAGCTATGAGGATGTTCACAAAGAGCATGTATCAATTTTCATGTTTTTATCATTCATAAGTAAAACTATGGTGTTAAGTTTTGTATTTCTTTATCCCTGCCACATTAATTATGTGCATGATATATATATATTACTGTAAGTGTACTTTCAGAAATTGCAACATCATACTTTTGTTTTGTGCTCAACTTGAAGGTTATAAGAAGTGTTTAACAGTGTTTCGTCAGCATGAAAATTTGTCCAATTTTAAGGGTCAGTGATACCTTAACTAATCTATATTATCAGAAGAAAAACCTTCATGATCAGATGAGAAATCCACAAATCCTCTCAGATACAACATGTTATTGTTATTTAGTAGTAATCAAGTGGGTCTGATGAATGCCTGACACCCTATGACAGCAACTAAACACAATTACCTAACTTTATTCATCCAATGATGAAAACCTGTACACTCAATCTGAAAAGTGAAACACAAGTTTAGCAGAAAAAGAAACCATAAAAAAACTTTCATATAATCAGAACATTGCAAGTCTCTTTGGGACACAAAAAAATGTTTTCATACATCTAGTCTAGGGTCCTAAAAATTAACATAAGCAGCTTTGAGTCAAATCATTTGTAGTGGTATTACTAGTGTTATGTACAGGGACTAGAAACACATGTATTAATATGATAAACCTGCTTCAGCAAAATTTCCATTTAAAAGTAATTTGTAAGAAGCAGAGACCAGGATTGTGGACTATCCTGTTATGACTTTTAAGATAAGAGACCAAGGTTATGAACTATATTCTATTATAGCTTCATGAAAAGAGACCAGGGATATGGACACATGTTATGATAATAGTAACATTTAACAAATTATGGTTGGCTATGTAGTTGGCTTTTCCTCTTTGTGATGTTTTGTTTTCCCTCCTATGTTGTATACCTTTTACTGGAGGAACAAATATCAAACTTGCCTATTAAAGCAAGATATTTATGCTTGTATCAAAATAAACAGTCATTTGACTTAAGAGTTTCACTATATCAAACTTTGAAGTTCCTATCTATTGCCATGTGATGACTGTTAGTTACTGTGGAAACATTTGAGTATGGAAGCACAATATACTATGGCTGAGACTAAGTATTCGATTATTCTAAATTCGAAGCTGACAGAGGCTTCGGATCTGCCAGTGCCCAATCGAATGTTCGCATGTTTATTTATACGCATTGCGCTAAGCATACAATTTTTGATTAGAAAAATGGCGTCAGATAAGGGCGCGGTTGGAAGTAGTTGTAAAAAGGTTTCGGACGTATGGAGTTTTTATAAGAAACTTCACAACCGTAAGAAAGCCATGTGCACTATTTGTAAAAAAGAATTTGCCTATTTAGGCGGGACAACAAACCTACGGAATCACCTCGCGTCGAAGCACTCGACTCTTTACTGTCCAGACATCAAGACAACCACAACGGAGAGCAGGAAGACGCCTATCATTGATGGATTTGTACGGCCTCCAAAGTGCAATGATACACGTGCAAAGAATATAACAGACAGAGTGACTCAAATGATCGTTCAAGACCTATGCCCCATTCGAACTGTTGAATGCGATGGTTTTCGTAACTTAATGAAGTACTTGGAGCTGGGATATGTCTTACCAAGCAGAAAACAATTTACCGCTGATATCAACCTTAAACATGCAACGTGCAAACAACGTCTGAAAGAAAGGCTAAGTGAAGAAGCAGTGTTTATATAGTTAACCACGGATATATGGACGAGCATCGCGACAGAAAGTTACATCACCGTAACAGTGCATTACACTGATAACAGCTGGGTGCTACGGGCCTTTGTACTGGAAACCTTACCTTTCCCAGAATGGCACAAGGGTATAAACATTGCAGAAAAGCTGAAGAAAGTGGTTATCCAAACTCAATAATAAAGGTAAAATGTTTTCAAAGTGTTTACTAACCAGGGAAACTTCTAAAAATGTAAGTACTCTGAGACAGAGCTACAAAAAAATTAAAATCTGTTACAAGCCTAGTAACCTGAGTCGTGTATCAATTCCTAAACATCTGCATGATGAGAAACAGGATGGTGACTAAGCTGGACAAAATGTTAGAGAAACTGTGATAAAGTTTTAATTCTCCATGAGCTATTGTAGGAACCCATGGCTGAAAGCAAAAGAGAATATGTTATAATAAATCAACCACAATGTGTCTGCTATGTGTAGTACTGGTGAGGTCTTTTGCTCACTACACAGGCTCATCAGACCAGCTGGGATATGACAGATATAGTAGTGGTCTAGATGCATGTATTATCAACATTCATGAATGGTGACTGTTAAGATGTGAACCAGATTAGGCAACTGAATTGTAATGATTACCAATTTTACTTAGATAATTTAAAAATCAGATATTTAAGATAAGAATTAATAATATTTATTTGTATACAGTGCCAGCTGACCCGTGGTAAAGTTCAAGTTCATCTTCTACAAAACATTTGAACTTGGGCTGAGTGAGAACTAAGGCATGAGTATGTTGCTGCTTTTTAATATTCAGTACTACATAAACTAAATTTATTTTCACTGTCTTGTTTTCCAGTACATTTCTCAGCTAAGCAATGCACTGAAGTACTGCCATTCAGTAAAGGTGATTCACCGAGACATTAAGCCAGAGAACTTGCTTCTAGCAGCTAATGGGGATCTTAAGATTGCTGACTTTGGTTGGTCAGTTCATGCTCCTTCATCAAGGTAATTTCACAGTTTGCTAAAATTGACTGGAGTATAAGGTGAGATCATGTGTTGCCATGTAAGAGTAATTATGTAGCTACTACACTTAAACCTTGGCATAACACAGTCATCTGGGTCCAATAACACACTACCGCATAATACGTGAGGGCACATTATAGTGAGGATAATCAATAATCCCCCCCCTCCCTCCTCCCACCCCACCCCACCCCCACCCCCGTTCCATTTCATCCCATGCTGTGTAACAAGTCTATGCCAACACGTGGAAATAAAAACAGGTTATGGAAAAAAAACACTGAAGAAAGTGAGTAGAACTTTTTATTTATTTTACTTTTTTTGAAAGAAAACATTTACATGTATACTGATAATGATGTTTTAATTATCAAATGCAGGAAACATTAAATAACGACATGCATCAATGCTACAGCCATAGTTGAGTAAAAATTCCTTATTAAATGCATGCAGCTAATACAAAAAAGCATAAAACTAAGAGTTTACAATTGAAGTAAAAGCACATCATGTTAAATTTACAATGCATGAGAGCATTGCTATTTGAAAAATGATTCGATCAGTTTTGCTTTCATCTTTCCTCTTCCCTGAAATTTCAATGATCATCTTCAGTTGCAAGACTTTAACCCAATCCACATCTTGGCTCTCTGGCCACTTTAATCCAATTTCCAAAACTGTTAGCACTTCAGTGGCTCTGGTAGTTTGGCTTGAGCATTTGTCATTGTTCTCTGATGTGCTAATTTTACACTGGCTTTTGATTTGCCACTTTATTTAAAAGTAATCAAATGATCGCAGAAGCATGTCTCTTTTATGTTGTTTTTTTTAATAACCTTTTGTTATATGGCTGAAGCAAGAAACTGCCACCATTTATGCTTCTTTGTGTCTAAAAGTAGGGTCTAAACACTAACCAAGTGATATCCAAATCTGCATTGTATCGAAATGTGTTATGTCAAGGTTTAGGAGTATCTGTCTGCTTTGTGGGGTTAAGTACATTGATTAGAACCAGTAAAAATTCCTTTAATTTAATGTATAAAATGCTGAGAACTTTAGTAGGCCTACTTTGTGGGTAGCCCCCCCCCCCCCACCACACACACACACACACACACATGGAAATTATCTTTCTAAGTTATATTCACATTATGTTACTCATATATAGTGCATTTATTGTACATTTTTTGAGTTAAGTAAATATTATTCATGGTTATTTGAAACATTTAGGATAAAGTGAAAAGTTCTGATGTGTTTCCACAAGAGATGGGTGATTAGTGGAACTTGCTTATTGATTAATCATCGGGCTTGTTAATCAATTATTGTGACAATGAGACTACAAAAAAACCAATTCATTATTCTCACATTGGATGGGTAAATAAAAACTTAAAATGTAAAAATTTGGTTTTGAAATTCACAGTGGACAGAGCACAGATAGTGCATTGTGTAGCTTTAGGCTTAACAACAAATATAATGGCAATATTTCAATTATTTGGATAATTGGAATAATCAAAAAACAGTAATGATGAAGAACTCTAATTTTGATTATTTTTCTGACAATCTATTTAATTGTAAGTTTGATTACTAGATAGTTCAGATTATCAGAAGCATTAGTTGATTATTTTTGTGATATTAATGGGTTTATTCAATGCTCATTTATTGCCTAGCTCTTATTTTACACAGGTGTAAGGAATAGGTGAATTATTTTGATAAGTGTTTCTCTCAGTAATAGATTGTGAGGAGGTAATATTATAATTAACATCTGTTTAATCTGTGGCACTAATTCAGTGCCACTTTTAAAACAAGTTAAGGAACTTGCTTTGAATTTTTAGTAATGAAGTGATAATAGATGCACATAAAATATACTTTAAGTTTTTCAAGAATATTTGTGTTTGGTATGTTAAAGTATTCTCAAAGGTGACAATTGAAAAAGTGGTTAATGTTTGAAAGCAAATATTTGTGAAAAGTGGTTAGTAATACCACTGAAGCTCTGTGAAGTAACTTGTTTCACAATTTAAATAATCAATGTGTTAAATATAAACAGTTTTTTTTCTATGTGTACACACTTGTAGGCTGCCCAAAAAACCTACTTTTTCTCATACCCTGTTTTCAATATTTCCATTGTGCTACATAAAAAAACAGGTGTGCTTGGTATGCCACTAGTTATTTTTCTGGGGATCGTATGGACATAGTTTGAAAGGGGGTTTCCAATGATACATAGTTTGTAGAATCCTTTCTTAATTAACTCTACAATAAATCAGTCAAATATAAAATTTCTCAATTTTTCTGTAATTGTAGGAATGCAAAATGCCTGGTCACAAAAGAATTAAGTAACAATGTGAATGATTTGGTTTTGTAGTCGAAAGACTCCAGAGGAATAGTTGGAGAAAAGTATTTAACATACACATTAAATTTTGTCAGTATTACTTTGATTGTTGTATTTCATATGTACATATTAACAAATTTAGTTTGTCTCATCTTGCACATTGGAAGTCATATATAATTTTTTTTAAATCATATTACAGCATTTAGAGCTGGGCAGTTGATGGATTTTGCTCTTCATCTGGCTCACTCAACAGTTAATTATTTTCACCTTTGATTAATCTTCCCATTTCCAGTTTTATTTTGTAAAACATTTTCAAACTACCCTTTATTTAATATGATAGACATCTTCAGGTACAATAACTTAGGATTAGGTTGGTTACCTTTTTAATATTAAACTGTTGGACGTACACATAAAGTGATAAATACCTAAAAAAACAAGCTTAAAATATGATTAGTAGCAGTCTTTTGGTTTCTTCCTACAAAACTTCTGTATTAAAACTACTGAATTTTTGTTGATGAAAATAAATATTGTAACATTTTTAAACAACTTTTTATATAAAGTTAATGTGCGATCTTGAACCTCGTTTAATACCCATGGTGGATACAGCACCGTAAACCCATTGTGTAACTTTGTGCTTAAACACAAACAAATGAACAAAACAAATAACTAATAAACTTTACAACTATAAATAAAATATTTTCAGCCATAATCCTACACCAGGTGTCAATTAAATAATTCTTTCATTGCTGGAAAGAAAATTATTTTTCAAAATGTTTTGAAGAATACACAAGATTTAAACAAAGTTTTGTTCATAGAAAATAAAATAAAAAAATAGAAATATCAGAACTCCCTAGATGAAATACTTGTTTTAAACATTATTAACTGACAACTGATATAGATGACTGAAACTAGTCATGTTTTAAAAAAAAAATTTGAGGATTTTTTAGGGTAATAAAATTTATTAACATTATATGAAAAGTTGTTCAAAATGTCTAAATATCCTCGTAAGAGCCTTATGTTGTTTAAATGGTGTACTTTGTGACATTAAATGTAATGGGATTATCAGTAAGTACAGGAAAATATAAGCTACATATACTTAGTTCTTGGGACTTAGTTTACAATTTTATATGAACACAACTAAATTAAGGCAATCAAGCACATGGACACTTTAAGTTCATTATCACTATACAAAGAGACAATAAACTTAACAGCACATGCCACTTCACAGAAGGCATACGAGGCATAATAATGGAGGCCAAATACTAGGGAAATAGTAATTTTAATATATTTAGATGCACTACACCCGATCCACTTTTCAATAACCTTTAATAGTTTATATATATATATATATATAGACTATTTCATTTATCAATATATCAATATATATCAATTATGTATTTTTAATTAGAATTAGTAAAAGAATTTTCAAATTAGCTAAATTATTAATATAAGGATTGTAAGTTGTTAATTTTTCCATTTCAGACTAGTAAGTAAGCATTGTTGAACTTCTAAACTTTGAATTCTTGGTGAAATGAAACTACTTTTTGTTTTTTTACCTTAAACTATTGATACTTTCAAATTTTAATGCTGTATTATTTTGTTAACTTTGTTATTGTTTATTCAAAATAAATTAGTATGTTTACATTTGTAGCTCATCACAATGAAAAGGCTTGAATGATTAAATGAATAAAAATACTGCTTTGAGAGTATTGCCTCATGATCAGATAATTGCAGGTTCAAGACATACCAGTGCCTGTCAAAATTTCCACCAAAATACACATTGAGGAAAGTAAACGGTGTGGTGTTACAAACATAACATATAGACAATGTAGAAAAAATAAAATTACACAAAAGATTACAACTATGCCACTTATAACTTACAATGTAAAAAAAACACAGTAAATTTACAATTTCTTTAACACTAACGTAGCCCAAGAGTTGGCAGTGGGTGATTTCAAACAGTTGCCTTCTCTCTTGTCATCAGTTCAAAGTTATGGATGGTGGCAGATAGCTTTATTAGCTTTGCCATAACTAAAAAAAGATATGTAACCCCTGTGGATGATGGAATCTTGAAGCAATCCCTCTAATCAGCAGGCCATGTTAGTCCAAGGCTAAACAAACTTGAGCTTGAGAAAATCATAATGGCAATACTTGAATAGTTGGAAACACAATTTCAATTTGTTGATTGTTTTCATAATGGTTGATTTCATCGTAATTTAATTTACCATAAGTAATCAAATTAATTACCCAACTCTAAAAGCATTACAACTTGTTATACCCAGTCTATGGCACAAGCAATTCTAATTTTTGTCAGGGTGAAGATGAACAAGTATTTATTTTGGTTCAATACTTTCTAACTCATATAAGGTATCAAATTGTTATGGCTAACATACAATGAAGATGGAATGTTATCACCTCTAAGTTTTTTTTTGCCCCATCCTCATTTTGACTAGATATTTAAAATTCAAATACACATACCATGTGACAAACGAAGTACTATAAATAAGATTATCATGACTGGTTCACAAGTTTTAGTCATTATATATTAGACTTTGGCATCTCCAGACTTTACTCTTACACAATAAGAGTTATTGTGTAACTACTGTGATGGAAAGAATCAATGGACTTACACATGTAAGGGTTTTTGATTACTAGGGTATCTGTCCATTTGATTTTAGTTCAAATTCTGGTGGTTTTATGTATTTGTAGTAGAGAAAAGCAAAATTCGCAGCTCAGTTTTTACACAAATATGAACCTTAATTCTTCTTGCTGTTTTAGAATATCTTCCTTTATTAGATTCAAGGGAAGCTATTTGAAAGTAACAAAAATTGAGCAAATGCATATTTCATAAAGGTAAAAAGAAATTTTACTTTTTTTTAACACAATTTGCCATAAAGTTAGCATATTCTACAGTATGTATATTTCAAAGTATTTTAACAAAAAAACTTAATTGAAAATATATTTTGAATCTCTTAGTGTAATGTAAGCCATTAAACTAACAAATTCTGCTTCTTTTTTTTTACATTCAGTGCTCTTTAGGCTCTATGCGAGCTAATGTAATGTTTCTCCTTTTAATTAAAAACTGATACTTAGAGCTGTGTGGTTTAATCTATTACCTATGAGCAGTGATTAACTGATTAATTGAAATTATTATTGCCCCTGATTATTCCAACAATCGATTAATAACAATTACGATTAAATCGATAGTAATGATAAAATCAAATAATTGTTTTTTGGATTCAGATTATTACAATTTTCAATTATTCCAACTACTGCCACCATATTTATTTGACATGTCATTATTTTGGCACTAATTGTCCATCTCTACTGATAACTTACACACGAGGTGCAGGTAAAAATCATTATGAACTAATTTTTGAATTGATTGAAATGCTATTCTTTTATCTCTTAGACGTGCTACGCTGTGTGGAACTTTGGACTATCTACCTCCTGAGATGATTGAAAATAAAACTTATGATGAAAAAGTTGACCTATGGAGTTTGGGAGTACTGTGTTATGAATTCCTAGTTGGGAAACCTCCTTTTGAATCAGATAAAGTACAGGACACCTATAGGCGAATTGCAAGAGTGGATTACACCTTCCCATTGCACGTTTCAGAGGGAGCTAGAGATTTGATTACTAGGGTATCTGTCCATTTGATTTTAGTTCAAATTCTGGTGGTTTTTATGTGTTTGCAAGTCTAATAATCTGATAATGAATTATCTTGGATACAGTCTTACTTTCAAAAAGAGATATTTTATCACTATATCTATTCCCTATTGTGAAAGAGATTGTCAGTATGCCAAATGTTGTGTTTCACTTAGATTTAAAATAATTATGCTACTTAAGAATCTATTTAATGATTTTGTTTTTTCTAATCTTTTATGGCTGGAGTGTAGTTTATCACAAATGTGTCAACTCTTAACTGCAATCTTCAAATCTGCCCTACATCTGAACCAGTGTTGAGTCCTAACCACACCTTTATTTGAATTGTTTTTCTCTTCACTGTAGCTGAGCTGATTGACTACATACTATTACCAAACTGGTTTCAATTGAAGTTAATCTTTTGTTTATGAATATCTGGTATATGTTTTTAGAACTTGTGTCAATTAATTAAGATGGATCTTTTGTTTTTAGTTGTTAAGTTAATGAATACATTTTTGTTCCAGCTATTAAAGTACAACCCAGCTGACAGACTTCCAATAGATGGCATTCTTCAGCATCCCTGGATCACAAGCAATACTGTAAAAAAGCCAATTCAAAAACAGTCTTAGTGAAATTTAGAAGTTTTGGTTATAAACAGGTCTGCAAGTGATTTTATATGTCTAGATATGTTAATGAGATTGTTAGTAAAGATTGATAGATATATATATATATTGATTCCTTATCTTTATGAGAACCAATGGGCCAACAAACTGTAAATAAATGAAAGAACTGTCTTTATGGTGGAAAGAATCAATGGACTTACACATGTAAAAATGAAATGCCATAAGTGTAGGGATTTCAATTTTAGTGAATAAAGATTTTTTCATTAATAACTTGATATACCAATGTTGTAACAATACATTGCTTGGAAATATTACTTGTTTGGACTTCAAAACTAATTTTTGCATCATGTCATCACTGAATAGAGGTAATGATGAAACTAAGAAAAAACCTATGATTGTTTATTGGCAACACTTGGAAGAAAGACTGCATCAAAATATTTGTACATAGGGTGCTGAAAGTTAGATTTGTCTGTAATTCCTTTTATATTGTGACTTTTTTTAAAGATGTAAGTGAAACCATGTTACCTCTGCCATCAAAGGGGATGGAGGTTATGTTTTTACCCCTGTATATTTTTCAGCCAGTTTTCTTGAAAATGGCTGATTATCTTTGGACAAAAGTTGGTATACATTTCAACTATAACCCAACTTAGAAACCCCTATCTGATTTTTCACATTGTTTTTGCTTTATAACTCAGTCAAAAATGATAGGATTTCAATGAAACTTGGTGGATATGTGTAAAATATTATTCTTCATTGTCCTACCAAAAGTTTTCTGTGTGGCAGAAGTATGTGCTATACTGTGCTAGTTAAAGAAGTAATCCTTCCAAGTTGTAATATTAGTCTTTGAATACAATGAACACTAATATAGTATGATACTCATTGCATCATAGGTTTACAAGTTGCATGCTACCATTTATATTTATAAACAAATAGCTAATGTCTGTGTAGTCTTATCAATATTATTTGTTGTCACTAATTATTCAAAGTAGCGTGTTATGTCATTTTTTTCAAATGCTATCAAGACCATTTGTATTTTCTTTCTTGTATAAACAAACCTCACATTTTAATCCCTTTTGTGATTTGTCTGAATTTATATGTATGTTAACATGTATTACAATCACTGCTCTCTAGCCAGCAACAAAATAAAATGCTGGTTGTGCTGATCTCTATTGGATTTCTTCCGAATTATGTATCACAAACACTGGGGAAAAAAAGCAGACATTCTTTATCATAGGTTCACTGAAATTATATGCAACATTCACTAAATATATTTTGTGCAGAAATGTGAAAATAGATTGTAAAATAACTTCTCATTTATTAATACAAAGTAATGGCCATCAAAAAAATTAAATAAATAAAGTTGGCTATTTTTGAGCTAATTTCAAAAAAAAAAGCCAAAGACGAAAGGGTTTAATGATATTTCTATTAGTATTGTCTTAGTATTGGATCACTGACTTTACGCAACTGTAGCAAGAATAAAACAAATGACTTCTCTAGTGTAAGGATTTATTTGTTAAGCACAATAGGCTATCCATGTTCTACCCACCACAAGTATCAAAATCTGATGTTTAGCCCTCAGACTTTTGAATCACTGAAGTGCTAGTGTAATTATCAACCCTTATTTGATTCCCATGGAATACCAATTACTGAATTGTATGTACATTGAAAATGCCCGTTTGCAAGAAAGACAAGTATATGGATTGATTAAGTTTCCTATTGTGGAGATTTGTATATATGAAAAACTGTCTGCACTAGTGAGGTTTCACTTCATTGTAAATACAATATTACAGGGTTCATACATATCCTCAAACACACACTTTTACTATCTTTGTAACAATTCACAATTTTAAATAATTAATGCTGGTCAAATCATGAAATTAATGGTCAGGGAGCTTAAAAATAAATGTAGCATTTTCTTTTCATATACTTATGTGCAGTTTCTTTTGCATAACTTAGTGGTTGAAGTTTATCAGAGCATAACATAGTTTTATCACAAACACAAACTACACCTATCAATGAAACTGGCTGGTATAGCTCGTGGCTTCTCCTGGAGATAAATGGCTACCACAAAGCATATTGTTAGCTGTGTCTGAGAACAATAAAAATTATGAGCATCCAAGTTTCAACTTTAACCAGCTCTGCAACTGGCAAGAAAAAATGTGATTACCAGTTTAAAAAACAACAAACTGATGAACGTAATATAGCTAGTAATGGCAAAGTATGCCTGAAATATTGTATCATTGTCAACAGTGAGCCGGACAATGTAATGCACAAAACTTGGCATCCACTAAACTGCCAGATTATAGTAACTTTATTGTGAAATAATATGGCCTGAAACAAAACTTCTGTAGTATATTTTTATTTATAAAAAAAGAATACATTTATTTCATTATAAATAGTCAAAGTAGGTTGAAACTAGGTGCAACAAAAACAAAAGAGCCAAGGGAAATAGACTGTGGTTACAGTACTGCAAAGGTCATTAAAGTATTACAAGATAAAATCAGGGAAAAAGGTTTCCCAAATTTTATGCTTAGTGTTGAAGCTTTTATGATGAAAGTTGTGAATATGTTAATTGACAAGATATTAATTGAATACACTCTCAGGAACTCATCCTGCTCTTATCCATACTATAGTACCAGTTAAAAGGATTTCAGGGACTTCCTCAGTGTTGCTGTTGCAAATGTCTACATTCAAGGAGTATGCTCCTGCTACAACAGATCCTCCTACCCATATATTCTTACAAGAATGGATGGGGCAGAAAAATTTGTACAGCAAATGTTACTTTTGCTCTCGCTTGGATTGACTAGTACTTAATGTGGTTTTCCTGTGAATCAACACGTAGAGGTGGGAAAACCAAAAGGAAAAAACATGCATAGCCCATCATATCATGTAAAATCACCTTCAGTCACCAATGTTTCTTGCATCTGTTGGATCAGTCAGGCAGCAGTATCATATCTACCTTGAAAAACAAACTAAGCATAAGTACAGTCTACGAGGGACAGCCTTGCTGGATGAGCTCGAGGGACTACGGAGAAAAAAAATGTCATTTCCATATTGATGCTGAAGCCCACATAATGATACGGAGGTAGGTACTATCATATGCATCACCAAGTTCAATGGCATGAAAAGAACAGCAAAGGAGAAGCTTGGTTGCATTAAAACATTGACTTGGATATGGAATTATGAAAAATAAACAATTAGTTTATGTTATACTGTAAGAGTCATTTTTAACCAAACGACAACTTGCAAAGTATTTTGAAATACATTAGTTTTTCCTTGTAAATTTACAAAGTTCCCCAATTTTGTGCTTAAGAAAGTGTTTGAACCCTGAAATTATAAAAAGTTATAATCTTTATAAATATGTTGGTGATACACTTTTACAGTAACAGATGGTTTTACCTATCAAGGACAATAAGGGTTAGGATAAATGACATTGAAGTTAACATAAAATGACTTATTGAGAAACTAATTTTGATTTAAAAAAAAGGAAGTACTCACAAGTAATATAAATAATACACAAAATGAAATTTATGGACAGGCTTGTGGTGACAACACAGCAAAAATGAAATAGACTGTACATCAGATGTAACTACAGAATAGCAGGGTACAAAAGAAAGATGGATAGACCACTGGTCAAACTTTACAGGGAAGTTCAAGTCCACAAGAGATGGCCATTGTAGCAATGTCAAAAATATGATAAAAATGGAATTGAAAGATAGACTAATAAACAATACTATAAAAAAATAATATAAATGTTTACATGTCTAGAAAGTGTAACTTTTCTTTGTTCTAGAGTAAGTTTGATTCAAAGGTAAAACCTTTTTCTGGGGTTATCAGTTGCAAAATTAATATATCACCTCTACTAAACTTTAGTACAAGGCCTGTTGTCTGTCCACACTTCAGATGCAAAATTAACTACCATCCTGCTACTCATCACTGATCTCTTTTATTCTACACACACAGATGTTTGCTATACTAAAAAAAAAGTTTGATAAATAAATCTAATATCATGCAGATGATTTGAGGTAAATTAACTTTTAGTTCATTTATTAATAATTATATAGGTATAGATAAAAAAATTGAATAATTTAAACTTTCCCTAATAAGTCATTAATGTTGTATATATGATAGAACCAATATTACAAGATTTTGGCAAAAATATACCTAGCAGCCTCTGTATTGATCGTGCCTCTTTACAATTAGCAGTAAATATCTTTAACAAAAGTCATATAACCTCATTGCCCTCTCAATAACATGATTCCTGCCTTCTATGGCCACAATCAACAGTTTAATGTCTAGCTGAATCCACATAAGAAGCATTTGTGTATTTCCATACAGCCAATGACTGCTCTGCACATATTCTATACTAATGCATATTAGATTATTAGTGCCATTTTTGACACGTCGCCACTGAAATAAAAACCACCATATAGAATGATCTGCATGATGTCAGGCAAACTTTAAAGTTCACTGTTGGAATTTCCAAAACGGTCAGACATTTTGTGCTCACATGACATTGGAAGACAAATTAATATATATTAATGGCTAGAAACAATTAAGGTGATCTGGCCCAGTAATTTGGTTTTGTTATTATAGAATTTTGTTTTATGTGCTTTGTGTACTAATATCACATGTGAAAAATGTCATTTCAGATTAACACATTTCATTCTGAAACAAACAACCTTCCATGTCAAAATACATCCTGAAACTTAGCCAACTTTTTACTTCATCTTAAAAACATGCCTTTCTATTATAAGAACCATCACCCAATTAAAAAAATTACTATATAATATCCTTTCCTAGCAGTTAGTTAATATAATTTTTTTTTTAGTTTAAGACTAAAGATTTGAGATAAAATTCCTGAAGAATGTCTCCCTAGTGAGACAAATGCTACTAATCTAAGAATTCATATTGGAAAATTAGGCCTGTGGGTCAGGTGGCATTCTGCAATTAATTGCATTAATAGTACTAAAAAGAAATTCTAGCATTTAAATTTTTCATTTCTATGGGAGTCCTGAAAGTATGCTATTGATTAATAAGTTACGACAAAGTTAAAATATAACCAACAAATCACTTACCCTAACCTATGATGGTTCATTATTAAAACTGTTACAGTGTTAGGCTCTGCAATTCCTACTTGAGAACTAACTATTACTTTCCATTTAATATTACATGTACTTTTCGATGCAAGTACTAGGTTTAGATTTCATTGCACTTAGTTTAGCAACTGTGAGTTTTCCACTAACTTAACCTATATTTATCATATTTCATCAAGCTGGAAAAAGTACCAAAGAGCAAGGCACAGAGCCAATCTACTTATATAGGTTAATAACCTACAAGTTAAATGCTGAACATTTTAAGTGGTACCACTTTATAGCTGTTTAGTACAGTGCTAAAACCACCCATTTTGTAACTTTCCAAGAACTAATGTTAGCCTAATATGGCAAAAATAAAACCAATTTGATTTCCAGTCATTATATCAGGGGTTCTCGAACTTTCAACTCATGACCCTCCTGAATAGGCAGGTAATTTTCTGGACCCGTGCTTAACTAGAGTAGGAGGATTAATGTTCTAATAAGTCTAGCAGTGCTCTTATAAATAATCTTAAAATTAAAATTTGGTTGCATGACTGAGGGATAAGCACAAAGTATAGTTTACTCTCTTAAGTACATAAATGATAACAGTTATAAATTCAAGCAATAATATTCCTAGTTTCAACCATGAAAAATTACTCATGCTTCCTGCATAAAATATCCTTCTGGTAAACTTTTACATTAATATAAAAAATATCAGAGTCCTAGACATTACATAAACCCTAAACACAATAGGGAAAAATGTTAACTCTTTAGCCTATTTGTTTAATAAGTGGTCTCAACAGAAATATAAGTAATTCACCCTTCGTAACAAAGTTTCTTACTGACATTATTATGTCCAAAACTGCATACTGGAAAGTTCAAGGTTTAGTCTGCGATACATTTCTAAACAAGCCCTACCATTTCAGCTGTGGATGCATTACAAATTGACATTCAACATGCTGTTTGATTAAGAATAGCTGGTTAGATGTTACTGACTTATTGCATTCCCTCTGGTCAGCAGTTCACAATTAAGGACAGCTATTCCAAACCTTGAGGTCTCCGATCTGGCTGATTAGCCATGTCACATAAGGTATCGTTCCTATTGTTACAGTTGTACTGCCAAAATGTTGTAATACCTGGGTAATGAGCATAAATGTCCAACTGTTTTTTAAAGAAAAACTGTTTAAAATGGCTAAACTTGGACAAGCTGTTCTTTGCTCCCTCTCTCTTTTCTTAATTCAGAAAAAATCTAAATTCATTTTTATAATTGTTAAGTATTTGTGTGTCACTGTTATAGCTCTGGTATAATTGTGAAATAACATTTCCAAATATTTGTATGTTTTTTAATGTGTTACATCGAGATACGCTATACATTAATGAAATAAAGATCACGTTGAGCATTGTTAAAATACTTCAGTCTGCACAAAAAATTTTAAAATGAAGAAAATAGGCATAAAAAGTTACACATTCTAAAATTCCATGTATGTTATAAAGACAAAAATCAAGCAGATCACTGCACAGTGTTCTTAATATCAGAGAATAAACGAGGGGTAGGTGGAATAAGGGCACACCTGTAAAAATACAGATTTCATACACTATGGCCATCACAGCATCAATTCTCCTCTGTACTCCAATCTTTACTCGCACCTTTGGCCAAGAGAAACCACACTGTCAAGAGTTATTACTAACGATATTTTTATTGGATGAAAGTACAAACTCAAGGTAAAATGAATGATAAATGGTAATTTTAAGTCAGGATAAAATAAGCAAAAGAAATTAAATAAAATCACTAGGAACTATCAGATGGTACCAAGCTTATGTTTAATATTAGTGATCCATCAATGTTCAGGGAATTTTGCAGTTTCTATAATCTACAGAGTCATTATTAGTAAAATAAAAGGTAAGTAATAGAAGAAAGTATCCTCAGAAATGCAAAATAAAAGATAATTTACCTTGTCAACCTTTCTCTTGGAGTTAATTGTAGCAAAACTCCTTGAACTTCAGTTCAAACATGTTCAAATTAAAACTTATTTACATTGCTTGCATTGATATTTAACTGCAAGAGAGGCTTCAAAATCCACTTTAGAACTGTTTAAGCAAGATAGCTACTGCAGTATTTCCCATATGTGCTTGGAAAGTCAGTGTGTTAATAATTGTTACTATCAGAAAATAAACAGTTCCATTAAAAACCAAAACCACCAAATAAAAAGTAAAGTTGTGATAGACCAAAGAAACAACACACAAGTATCTTAGCTCAGGATACCATGCAAGCTGACTAACTAGATTCATATATATGCTTGAACATATACAAAACCAATAAACATGTAATGCTCAAGTATCAGGATGTAGTGGCTCAGTGCAATAATAGCTGAAATTATATATATATTAGCATAAATACACAAATATATAAACAAAAGGATTTCCTGTGGTATCATATCTTACTCCATCCTCATATATTTTCTGTCTTAATGTGAGTGTTCATGCTGAAGTTCCTGACAAAAAAAAATGTTTCCTAACAATGCCTACGTCCCAAACAAAAAGTAAAACCACAAGAAAGTACATCTATGTAAAAATATTAATTTCTTTGTTACTAAACAAAATTAGCTTAACAATCAAAATCACAAAATAAACAGATTTATACTACTCATACAATTAAATATGTGAAACTATAAAAACAACACAATTTACACTTGAATATATTAAAGGCATATATTCTTCCATGTCTTGGCAGGACCTTGGTTCCACTGCTGGGAATTCAGTGAGTTATTAATCTCCAATTTTGATAATTTTGTAAATAATTCTACATAATTATTAATTAAACTATTGTTCCACAATTTAACCTCCAGATGTCTTTCCAAGAGTAGTTTATTGTATTAACTCCCCCACTAAGCAGGTTGATTTCACAGCTTGAAATATAAAGTCCAGATATTCCCATCCATAGGTCCCCAAAGATGACTGTCTATGAATATTTTATGTTCAACAGTTAACTTACTAATACTGCCATGTGCAATGCTACACAATTATCTTCATACCTTAAAGGTGCTGTTAGAGAAATCCTGTTGGTATAGATTTGTATACACAATGTGTATCTATTTGTGTGTGTGTGTGTGTACATGCAAACACACACACTGTACAGATTCTTTTCATACTCTGAATATATATGAATATCTATTTACTTCACAGGGTGTATCTGTAGCCCTTTTTAACTCTTGGATAAAAAGATTTATTTATTTTACAGATTCTATCAACAGTTCTTCTGAATACATGTAAATGCTTATCTACGTAATACACCCCACATGTCTGTGGTCATTCTAAATGTGTAAAAATACTGATTTGCTTCATACATCTGTCAATAGTAGTTCTGAACATCATTTATGTAAACATTATATTTTTATTTCCCTTCTCTTTAATACAGATCAGCTAAAATGTACACAGAATATTTTATGAACACACTGTACAAGCTGTTTGGGTACAATCTGTTCATGAAATAGATAGAACATTGATGTGAACATACAGTAAACAGAACAATAAGTGAAATACTGGACAGATGGTAAAACTGGCAGGGGTTGTCACTGGCTTCTGACTTCAAAGCTTGAAAAACAGTTACATGATGTACTTCTCATAATTAAATATTTATCCTAATTTTTTTAAAACTCATAAAAGTTATATTAATTAAATGTACTGTTACTATTAGAAATAAAAAGTTTTGACACTGCACAAGAAATTACCATATGGATACTTTAACTGAGTTAACCAACAGAACATACACCAAACAGGTGTTGCTACAAACAAGAAACAACTGTTAAAACATTTTGTACTGTTAAGCTACTAGTCAAACAGCCAAATGTAGTGAGCATTAAATGAATATTTTTACCATACATTACTAGATGTAATTATATCAAGTTACTTACATCACTAAGCTTTAGTATTTATATATAGAAAAAACATTACACTGCTAGAAATATTTCCACAAAGTGCTAAACTGTGCTTATTATTGTTAGTAATACTGTTCAGACTGAACACCAACAATGAGAAACTTTTGGCAGTCTAACCTTGAAATGATTTATCACAAGATCTTTCCTAATTTCAAATTAATTGCAACAAGTGATAGTGAAAAATATTTTAAATACAAAAAAGAATATGTTAACACTAAAACAACTGCACATTTAGCACACCCGTACTACTTCTCCACATCAACAAACATTCAGCTCATCAAACAATTCACACATATTAGAGTGTAAAAAAATTTATTCACTAAATAACCATACAAGATAGGTGGTAACGGAAATACACAATCAAAATGAAACTGAATATAATGTACACACTGAAGCCCACGGTACCACAGTTTGTCTTCCCTGGTCTTACATCTTCAGTCTCGACACTGAAAACTAACGGATTATTAATTTTCTACTGGCAAATTGATAAAATATTAAAATGTCTCCCCTTCCCCCCCCCCAAGATTTAATTTCTGAGTATTGAATACTCTGTTTTGTGGATACCAGACATTCTGCTTTCATACACAGTTACCTTTAAAAACCCATTAGTTAAGAAATGAGATATAAAAATTTTCATAAGTCCCCTGTTAATCAATTCCTGGCAGATTTATCAAAATGAATAATAAACAGAAAAATTCATATTTTGTACAGTGCTATGGTACATCTTGTAACTTCCATTCTTTTGTGCATTACTGGTAACTCTAAATGACTGCTACACTTTCTCTACAATATTTCAATGAAAATTTCGGGAACACAGATTCTGAAAAAAAAGCCATTTTGGAAATATTATTCCACAGGAATTTCTTAACTTTTACTTAAAATACATACTATTGTGTCATGTGCATTTAGTCAAAAGTATATGCATCATACCTTTACACATGCTTATTTCTTAGGTTTCTTTTTTTTGGTGATTCTGTGGAACGTTCTCTCTGTCGTTTTTTGTTAACACCATTTTTTACTGGTGTTTTTGAAGAACCTTTAGATTTCACTTTTTCTGGTGTTCTATTCCGCCCAGGAGGTTTTTTGCTCTTTCCAGACTTTTTACTAACATGATCATTCTCTTCCTCAAATTTTTCTCTATCCGCTACAGAAAAAACAAATATCTTGTCATTATATAATTAAATGCATTATGCATGACCAGTTATGTTAAAAGAATAATTACTTAAACAAAAGTATTTATTGAAAACATTTGACACTGTAATCTTCTTCAACTTCATATATTTCTGTGACATTTCAAATCATTGAGGTTAGAAGCAAACTAACATTGATTTTTAATGTGAAAAATGGCCATATAAAAATCTTACCCCTTGCTGCCTCTTCCTCTAACTCTGACCAATCTTTACCACTTTCCTCACTACTTCCACCATCATCATCATCATCAACTGAAATTATACAGAATTATAGCACAAGTCAATATCCTGAACACATAAAAGTTCAAATCACGATATCACTCACATAATGGACTTACTTGCATTTTATGTAACACATACAGCGTGCGTAGTTAAAACACCACAGAAATATTTCAGCTACATTTCACAGATCAATAACGTACTTCTAAGCAAGACAATTTCTAGTTTGTATAGAAACTGTTAAATCTTACCTCTTCTGTCACAATTCCAATACCAGTAATAAACAATTTTCTGTCTGAACATAAATCTACTGGACTCTTTTAAAAAACTTCTAACATGATCAATAATAAATATATACATTATACAAATTCTACCCTCTACAGAATAACACAAAACCATTGTGCTAATATTTACCACATCACTTTCAAAATCAATATTCTACAATTGGACGTGAATTCTTCTAGCTTGTTATTGTTTGTTTGAGAGCAAAGTCACATTGGACTATCTACTGTGTCCACCACAAGGAATCAAACCCCGGATCTTAGCATTGTAAGTCTGTAGACTTACCACTGAGGGACATGTAGTTAATTGGTGTAACACAGAAAACATTTAAGGAAATGTTTATCTCGATTGATTGATAGTCAATGTGCATACAATAGTTATTTGGGGAATATAAAATTTGTATAGAATTCCAGTGATGTGCAAAAAGTTGTTTTGAAGATTTTTGAAGTATAACTATCTGCAGTTCATTAATTCAACCCTTGCTTGATTAGGCTTGTCTAAGAACATTAATACACATAACGGAATTACTGAAATGGAGATGTATCCAGATTAGGCTTGTCCAAGAATATTAAACTGAATTACTGAAGTGGAGCTTTATACAATAAATACCTAAACTTCAACAAAAAATTGTATATGTTGATAGCAAAATTACAATACCAGTAAGGGCCATTCTTCAAAATGGACCATATTTTGTACTGGTACTTGAAAAATACCAGTAAAAACAAAATTATAAATATAAACAAAAAACTGCATGATGGAAAGTCATGTAAGCACAAAAATCATATTTAAATAAGACAATGCAACAACAGGTATTGATCTTACCTCAATTTATCATATTTTAGTGATTACACATTGATAATGCACTAAAAGTCATGCAAAAACAATTCCAGTACTTAAGAGTCTGGTGTGTAATGTACAACAAACAATAACAGTAAACAATTTAAAATCATTCTACACTTTTAATACCTTAGACCAGTGGTTCACAACCTGAGGTCTGTGAAGGTAACACCATCTCATTAAACAAGTAAGTTTTTTTAATTATACACTCAGTTATATATGTCTTTTACTTGATAGTGAAAAATGAGGAAATGAGTTAATTATTAGTTAACAAAAACAGTTTTTTTGTGTAGATGGAATCTTTCAAAAACATGAGTTTCATGGGGGAAAAATAATAATAAAAGGGGCCCTTGGTGATGAAAAGGTTGAGAACCACTGCGTCAGACAGTATAATAATCTGTATTTAGCACAAGTAATATTATACCCTCACCAGAATCTGAATAATCTTCAGAAAAATCAGAGCCACTGAAACTACTTTCACTTTCTTCATTATCTGACCCACTAGGTTGGTACTGCTCATCTTCTTCTTCATCATCATCATCATCCTCTCCATCTTCGTCGCTATCAGGGTCAAGAAATGACCACCCTCCATTGTCAAAAAATCCCTCAGGATCATCTGTTATTGTTTTCATGATCTTGACCCAGTTCAAACTTTGGACACCTTCTGTGTAGCGGATGTCACAAGAACTATAAAAATACACAAAAACATGAAATACAGTACTAAAACACTCACACTATGCATCTAAAATCTAACACAAAGTTGGCATGTCAGTATTAAAACACCCACATTACACTCCCTCAATCTAATATGAAATAGGTAAGACAGTATTAAAACATCCTTAATGTATGCCTTAAAACCAGTCTTCAAAATTTGGGCATGAAGACCACAGTAAAAAAGAAAGAAAAAACACCACTAGCTTATTAATCAAGACATCACCATAGCAAATGCAATGGTATGTCGTGAAGATATTCTTCCACATAAAGACACACTTAATACACAGGTAAGATTCAAAGCAAGCACCCTCACCAAAATGTTAAAGGTAGCTTTCCAGGTTCGACCTCAAGCATGAACTTTGTCACATTCCACTCATGCATTCTCCAGCAAATCAAAGAAAACTCAGTAAAATACAATAGAATAGTCCTTACAATTTTGTTTTCAAACAGTTATTTCTCATTTTTTCAAATAACATCTTTTTTTTTTGTTTATTCTCTGCAACGTAGTAGCTAAAATATATCAAACTTTTGTAAACTTAAAGTAACAAATTTCATTATCCACTCAGATACTAAAACATGCGGTAATAGAAAATCAAACTACACATGGTTTGACAGAGTGCAAGTAAGTTCTGGTTTTGAATCACATTTTAATTGAAATATATATTTTTTATTAATTAAACTAATAAATGTAAAAGTTACATTTTAGTAAATAGTTTGTCTGTGAAAAGGGGCAGTACTTTGCAGAATCACTCAAATTTCTGGATAGATAGCAGAGGCATCAGAACCAGGGGTGATCCCCACTTTTACATATTTGACTTATATAGCAACTGTAAATTATATTATTATATTAATTTTCAGGTGTGCATACCCCACTTTGCAACTCCTTCCTAAACCACTGGATAGGCATATACATTCAAACTATAATACAAACTTTCACAAATATAACAATTCATTAAATTCAATTATAACTGATATTTCAAATTAGGTTATGTGAAGTGATTCTATCATTAAATATCTAGTTCTTTATCAGCTGTTTTATGTTTACATAAAATCTTAATTTTTGAAGTTAATCACAGGAAACTTTCAGAAATTGATGGAAAAACAAGTCACAATTGTTTTCCTAGGACCACAGTTTTTAATATCGTATTTGATGTTTTTCGTTAATTGCCTTGACTTTGCCATAAGCTGTCGCTAATAACCTAACTAGAAGTTCATAAATCAGTATCAAAACATTTCATCTACTATCAAGTAGGTAAAACAGTAGTGAAACACATACAATGTGCAATTCTTTAAATGTAAAGTAAGTATCACAATACTAAAAATCACATTTTCTGCATCTACCTTGTAGTTGTTTTTTTGCACTGTTAAAAAAAATTCTTCCACTGATCTAAAATTGGATTACATGCACTTTAAAAAAATCCTTGGAACTTATTTTTTAAATTATTCTCTTAATTACTTTAATTAACCTTTAGAAATTTTTGGCATTTTTTTTCAGCCCCTTCAAAATTATGTTCCACTTACTTCAACCATTCTTTTACGTGGTCAAGCATATTCATAGGGATAGCATTCACCATAACTATTTTTCTATTGTAGTCCTTAAAGACAAACACCATGTCAAAGTTCTTAAGATGGAACTGTACTCTCTCAAAATGGACAAGTTCTACCTCCTCCAGAGTAATAACAAATGGAGGCTGAAACACAGCAAACAAAAGTTACTCTCAACAACTTAATTTTATTTTATAACAGATAAATTGCAGAACATGTAATAATTTTATTCTGAATGAAATTGCTAAAGATTGCCATCAAATTCATTTTAATGTGAAAGTACTTAAAAAAAAAATGCCATTAATGTATGCATTGTCAGGTCTAAGAGAGAAAAAAAACTCCCAAAATAAAATCCCAATATACATTCTCTTATTCCACTGTAACTTCCTCTGATATCGACTTTATGATCTCTTTATAAAAACTCCAATGAACCTAGTCTTTAGAGTAGTGTTTAATTCAATAACATTAACAATTTATTATTTTAATATGTGCACAAATATATGTACTTGAAATATAGTTTAATTCCATCTTTAAAAACTACATTATTTTCTAGTTTAAAACAAATACAGGTACAGAAGCATTTGAAATACCTGTTAGATAATTCATCCTATCTCAAATGTCAACTATAACAGCCAATACATTATTAATTAGAACTTACAGGTTTTAAAGAATGCTTACCCAATCTGTAAGGTTGACCAAACAACCTGATGTAGGTTGTAATAAAACTGTACTTCTATAAGGAACGCCATGGAACCCAAGTTCCCGGAATGGTGTGTCAAATTCAAGTTCTTGTTTGTTCACTTGTTCTACTTTTTCACAAAATGTTTTAAATGCAGTCTTCAGTTTTTGTCTAAGTTCACGTTCTGCCTATGAAAAAAAGTCACTCCATTGTTAGTACACATAACATTTCAAGTATTGAAACTTTCTTTTAACTTGTTTTAAGACTTAAAAGGTGTACACAGTGAAAGTTATGTCATATATAATTATTAAACTAGTCTTGCTTAACAAACCTCACTAGTTTAGTTAACAGTTTAATTAACTTTATCACAAAGGGCTCATGCATTTTAAATGACCTTCTAACCCCCACATCATCATGGTGGTATACATACTGACTGAAAGTACTTAATGCATCTTCAAGAAATTTGGCAATGTTTCAGTAAACTTTAAGTCTTTTGTACACTAAAAATCATAATTTTCAATTATGTATTTTTACTAAAACTTTGTCTGTAATTATACGGTGTCAGTGTTGACTGTTACAAGTGCAAAATGATATTCATGTTAAGATTAAAAATTCCTTTCTTGATCTAAAAATTTTCACATTTTGTTTCAGTAATCCCTAAAAGCTCCTGAACTAATATCTATTCTTTTCAGAAAAACTTTATATTTTATCTGTTATTTTGTATACTATAACTCTTTACATGGTTGGTCGATTTAACCAACCTCATAACCACCATAAACAAAAAAAGGAAATAATTCTAAATTATCCTGTTTTCTTTCTGGAATGATTGTAAATTGTAATAGGAAGCCACAATTGTTTATCTCAAGTAGTTTAAAGCTTGTAACAGTATACTTCTATTTAAACTTCATTTTATTGTTTTATTGCCACATAAATCATTCAACAAACATGTAGCTCACATTATCCTATCAAATTACATAACACGTAGACTACTCAAGAGCATACCCTGTCAAAAATTATTATTTATTTTATATGATCTAACCTTATCCAACTTAATAAATTGTTAATTTTACATTATAGATACTTTTATACTAACAAATGAAAAATACACATGAAAAACAAGAAATATAGTACTTACCTGTTTGTTTTTTCTTGCTGTCAACTTTTAATGAAACTTAACCCTACTTTTTAATACTAATGGTACTACTGCAATAAATAAGTTTCACTTAATTAACCCTTTGTTTGCATCTTGTGTAAATATGCTTACCACGCCATACGCAAATATTTGCAAATTTTTGCGGCAGTCCATTCAAAATTTTGAGTGTAAAATGTTTGTATCATATGATGTCAACAGCAGTTGAAGGGTTAAATAATGTACCTAAAAACACAGAATAAAAACCAGAAAATATCCTAAAACTTTCATAACTTTTCTGGCTTTCTAATTATGCCATATGAGCCATTAAAAATACAGCTAAGCTCACTGATGTGTTTTCCATGAGAATAAAGTTTAAACTGGAAGAGAAATACATCATTTGATAAATCAAAACTCTGGCTTTGTATTAGTTATAAATAATACAGTAGTAAATGTCAGAGAGAACTATTTACAATTTGTGAAACAGAGGATGTAACAGGTGGGGTCTGATATTCTAGTTTGTGGCTCTGAAGATTGAAGGCAATAAAAATTATACTTTACCTGAATAATAACTATATTATAATGAGCAATTTACATTAAATCCCATACAATTCTGCACTTCTTGGAGGGGAGGTAAATAAATTAGAGAAGATAGAAGACACAGAGAGCAAATGTCACAGTTCTCATACTAGGGGAGATTGAGGATTTAAAAAAATATTTCCATATAAAATTAAAACCTTAAATAATATTAAAGTTTAATTTATTAACTACATTTTGATCCTAAGATTATTTGTATACATTGATAATAAAGTAGTTCAATTAAATTTTAAATGTAATTCTGTAAAAGGTTGAGACATGCACACATACACAATTCAACCAGACAATATGTCTTGTAAAATGAGTGGCACTGAAGTTTTTTTATTTACCTCTCATTTAGTACCGTAATATGTTAGACTATGTAACCTGAATTAAGACATGGGCCATTTTTAAGGACCAATACTACTCTTTAAAACGACAGCTATTTTTTTCTAGGATAAAGAGTATTTTCTAGATAAATCAAGTATTCCACAGCACCTACTGCCATAACATGTATAATATGTTATGTGTATTGAAATTACTTCAATCTAATAGTAAGATATTTAAAAAATATTGTTTCATATTTTAATAGTCCAGATCTTGCATTAATCAGGTTACACTTTTCTTTATCATTACATTCCAATGGTGAGTATAATCAGCAAAGACGAAATAAATCTTTGACAGTTTCATTACTGTAACGCACAGAGTAATGATTTCTCAATTTTACCTCAGTATATTAGTTTGGTGTATTTTAAGCCAATTGTGTGGATTTCAAGATTCAAATTTTCCTTTTATTAGTTCATACAGTATGCTTAGGCTTTTCATGTGGCAATGAAAATACCTTGGGAAATATACTTTTTTTGAAGTTCACTAAAACTGGTTATCAGCCAAATTCTGGTGTGTCTCTTCAAGTTACACAACTATCTTTCTCCTCTCATATTATTGCCCAATTCATGTTTTTTGGTTCTTTGCTTGATGCTGACAGAAACTTCTAACATAAAAGTTCAGAATAATTTAGTTCAAGAAAAACTGCATATGATTTCTTTTTACACAAGCTAACAACTGTAAGGTTTTTATGGTGAGTCTAAAAGGTTAAGTACTTACAAAATGTGAAACTTTTAATTAGTATTTGGACACTTTGCTGAAACTAAAACAATAAGAGCAGAAAGAATATCCTATTAACCCATGCAGAGCCATATGTATAGCATCACGTCTACCATTGAAATGAACATAAATTATTAAATAATAGATCAATAAAATTCTAAACATTCTCACATGCATGCATAAAACAATCATACTGCTTATTAAGTTTAGAATTTTACAGTAGAATTCACGATCTTGTGGTATACACTGTTTATAGCTAAGATAAGGTACACACAATTGGCTAATACAACAACTCTGGATCTCTTCAAGCCAATCAAAAAAGTTAAGAACAGAAATGCTTTTCACCAAAACAAGTTAGTATAATGGTTAATTAACATCTTGATTGATAAAAGAAAAAATAATCACTAAAATAAGCTGATAAAGAAAAAAAAATACCTGTTCTGCTGCCAAGTCATCTCTATCATGCATGTGCTGATGTTTCCCCAAATCTGTAGTGATCTCTCCCACTTCAGTGTAAAACTGAACATCATTATTTCTTTTCTTTCCAAACATAATAGCATTCTGAAATAATATCAATATATGTTCCCTGTTACACTCTTGGTGCAACTACTACAGTGATGATAAAAACTAAATATCTATACTGTATTGAGTACTGAGATATAACTAATAAAATATGCAACAGAAAGCACAGCTATTTGGTACCCAATTAAACGTACATAATGTGTGTGTAAAGAAAATACTTGTGATAGAAGTATTATCTGATAATAAATTATGATTATGAATCTACCACCTCAGGTAAAAATGAGTCTCACTAAATAAAATATTGATAACTCAAATATACAAAATTTATTATTTAAAAACTACAAAGTATACACTACGTTTTTCTTGCTATACTAACTTTAAGAGAATAAACCTTACTTTGAGTGTAAAATGAAGAAGAATTATCATTTCCCCATCACAAGGTTGAAAAAAGGCATGTTTGATGTTGTTGTACAATATGTCTACCTTGTCTCCACGTATAGAGGTAAACCGAAAACCTATAAAGAAAAAATGCAAAGTCAAAAGTAGTACATGGTGGAGTTTGGTGTTCCTTCATAAAATAATTACTTGTTAACAAAATTTTAAGATCTACGTTATTTCTTGGCATGTGAACTACATGATTTTGAACTTAACAACTGGTTAAGTTCCATCAAGCACCAGTCTCAATGTTCTCAAGGGTAGCCAAAAGGAAAACTACTGAGCACTTGGCCAGTAATCTAGTGTTCTTGTACAACAGTCACTAGAATATCAATGTCATCTACTATAAGATATTAACCAATCACAACCTTAAATTAGTCTAACAGTTGACACTGTTCACTGCTAATGTCACCAACATTAGCTTAACATAAGGACTTAAACTACACCAAGACAGCCAACAAAGCTACTACTGATGTCAGAAACATTAGCTTAAAATAAGGACTAACACAGTCATCTGTTACTGTTAACCCTTATAACATTAGCTTAAAATAAGGACTAACAGTCATCTGTTACTGTTACCCTTATAACATAACTCTTTTAAACCTGCAACTTTTTGTGCGTTCTGCCGAAATTATTTTCATGATTTCCTGATAGTTATCACCATACCTTATAAAACTTCAACTTCCTTAATCTTATAGATAATAACATGGTTTGTATTAGTTTTCAGACAAAGACATAAACGTTATTGGATGCTGTCACCATCCAATGCGTAATTCAGGAATTTCAACTAGAAACTTGCAGCATCCGCTTGGGTTTAATGAACTAAATAATTCAAAACAGACAACAAAGCTACTACTGGTGTCACCAACATTAGCTTATGGACTGTATTGATTCTTATATCTGTTGGTGTTAACCACTACAGCTTAAACTAAACAAAGCTACTATTAGTGTCACCAATATTAGCTTAAAATAAGAATCAATACAGTCATTTGTTGGTGTTAACCACAATAAAATAATCCAAGACAGTCAACAAAGCTACAACTGGCATCCCCAATATTTAGTTAAAACAAGGCAATTAAAGGGCAACAAAGTCAACTGAAGGTGTTAACCACTTATAGCTTCAACCAATCAAAATAAGCCCCAATAAACTATTGACGTTAACAATTCAATAGATTGAAACACTCTAATTAAGGGCAATTACAAACAACTGTTCAAGTTAATCTCTTTCTAGCCTAAAACGATCCATTAAGGAACAACACGATCTACTGTTGTTTTAACAACAACTAAAAATAGAGCTATATATTCTACAAATATCGTGAGTGTCCTCCATTATGGAAAAGTGATTCTGATGTACTACAAACTACAAAAGTCATGCCTGGCTTTAAAAAATATCTTTTTGTAGAAAACATTTTCTAAAGATCTGCATTTTAATAAAACACACTTTCTAAAGATCTGTTTCAACCATAACACCTTTTTTATATATTATATTACAGTTACATTTTGATGTAGCATTATTTCAGATTAGCTAATTTAACAATGCATCACCTACAATATGTAATGTGTAACACCCGAACATTGCACATATATGCACTGATACATGAGACACTGTCTATTTCTAAAGCTATACATTAAGCTTCTGCACTGTTGAATATTTAGAAACAAAATAAAATTTATTTACTTATTAGTCGCTTGTTGCAACAATACTGTGTACAGTTTTCCAGAAATATTCCAAACAATTCAATATTGTTTCACATATTAACATGTGTGTTCCCAACAATGTTGGAGATTTAAGTGTTATATGTATAACTACTCAGTTACAGAAACAACACTTTATAACCAATGAAGGAAAACAATAATAACTCATATTTATTTAGGAAATGGGAACTTAACCAAAGTAAAAAACTAATATTTTGGATATTAGTCAAGTACCTAAACTTGAAGCCAAACATAAAAAATTAGAATAACATCAATTAATTTTGTAAAGTAACTTTCATAGTTATAACTTTTTTTTTCCATTGAGGAATGAATAACAATAAACTAGAAAGTATATTCAGAAAATATAGTATTTTTGTGTTAACAACTCTGACTTCATGCAAGTTGCTGTGGTGTTTTATTTTTTGATAACAGTATAATAACAATTAACTTTTCTGAAAGTCAGATAACACTATAACAAAATTTTAGTATTTTTTTACATGAAATAAGAGAAACTTCGAATATAATAATATAGTATTTTGGATCCATCATTGTTGAATATACAGTCCTAAAGTAACCTAAATAAGTCAAATAAAGTTAAAAGAATGTTACCTTTTCTGGGATGTATAAGTTTTAATATTATACCTTACAAAGTTGGAAACCCAATGAGGAATAAGTAATAAGAAAACTCAGAATCTAATAAGATAACATGGAGTGCATGTCAAAAGAATGCTTGGAGAGTGGAATGTTTTTCTTGTTGTATTACATAAAAATAAGAAGATAATTTCAGTTAGTGGGTCTTAGTACATCTGCATGTTATAAATGCTTTGCTGTTATTGTTTTTGCATTTAGTTAAAATTTCCTGTGTATATAAGGTAGGTTTCTGTGTAAATGCAACCTCTGCAACCAGCATCTAGTGTCATAGTATCTTACTTGATTGGAAAGTAAGCTTTATACAAGACCAACTTATACAGTTAGCATCACTGTATTTTTCCAAGTGGTTTGAGCTTCATTTATTATAAATGTGCCTGTTAAGATAATGTTTTAAAATACTTTTAAGATATTTCCTATTCTCCAGAGAATTGATCTAATTTTACTTACCATTATATCTCTACATAAAAAGTATCATGTTTCCATTTTGACCAATACAGTTCTAGCATACAGGTTGAGTTACATACCATTAACATGTGCTTCAAGTGTCCCCGATATCCTCTTAGAGTAAATATTGGGTCTCATGTACAAATCTTTTAACTTTGGGTTTCCTTTGGTAGAACTCAGTATGAGTGTGTCTTGTTTGACAATTCCCTGTTAAGTAATGAAATAGAAATATCTTGTTCATTAAAAAGTAAACTCAAGTAACTAACTAATAAAAGCAGAATCTCCATCACCTCTACTCAGTCTTGTAAATTTACACCATTATAATCAAACATCTTATTTTATGTAATTTTTTTACAGCTAAAAGATTAGTAAGCCATATTAACAAATAAACTTGGTAACTTTTTGAATATATACATATGAAACCATAAGCAATTTCTGAAAAACAATTTCTGTAGATTTATCTTATTTTGCTAATATATCTAGATTTCGATGATGAGGAACTCACTTTGAGACTAGTAATGCTTGTAGATGACTTGAATGGGTAATGAAAAACTTTAATATAAGTTTAATATAACAGCAACACACACTAGCTTTCTTTGAACTCAAACTCCATTAATCCCAACAACAAATTTACCATAGAACATGAAAACAATAAATAGTTATATTTTCTTAACCTCAACATTATTAGATCAAACACACAGTTTAAAACCAAAATTCACCGTAAGAACACACACACCAGCCTCTTACATCTCCTGGAATTCCACTCATGACACCACACAAAAAGCAATACACTCAAAAACCTCATAAACACAGCCACAAGACTCTGTTCAATGGACTACATAAATGAAGAAATCAACCACATAAAGCATTCCTTCAATCACACCAATAAATTTCCACCAGCTATTGTTGAAAAACTTTCCAACTTTCCCCACAACAAAACTCACGAACAAAATTGATACTAACAAACCCAAGAACAGAATATTACACTGCAGTTTACCTTTTGTCCCTGAAACCAGCTCAAGAATTACCCACACTTGGACAAAACTAGCAATTAAACACAATATTCCTATCAACGTCAAATTTTCTCAAAAACCCGGCCCCAAATTAAAATCGTTACTAAACAAAAATTATTTAGAATCACACAACGTCATTTACAAAATAACATGCAATA